CTCCGGCTCACCCGGCCGCGCGCGCCGAGAGGCGCGCCTGGCCGCCCCGCGCGCCTCAGCCAATGGGAGGCGGCCGGCCTCGCGCGAGCGCCTCTCTTGCCCCGCCGGGCCATGGGGGCGCAGGTGCGGCTGCCGCCCGGACTGCCCTGCCGGGAAGGTGAGCGTCCGCCGGCCGCGGCCTGGCGAGCGCGCGCAGAGACGGGCGGGCGTGCTGGGCGCGGGTGGAGACTCGGAAGGGAGAGACCCGCTCCTGGCGCAGCGGTGCCCGCGGTGGTTGCTCCGGTCGGGCGGTCGGTCTGTCAGTCAGTCGGTCTGTCAGTCTGTCTGGCGGTCAGTCAGTCTGTTATTCGGTCTGTCAGTCAGTCGGTCTGTCAGTCTGTCTGGCGGTCTGTCAGTCTGTTATTCGGTCTGTCAGTCAGTCGGTCTGTCTGTCGGTCTGTCAGTCGGTCAATCTGTCAGTCAGTCAACTGGTCGGTTGATCAGTCAGTCGGTCTGTCAGCCAGTCGGTGGGTGGCCTGTCGGTCAGTCAGTCGGCGGTCGGTCAATCAGTCTGTCGGTCTGTCGGTCGGTCTGTCAGTCAACCGGTCAGTCGATCAGTCAGTCAGTCTGTCAGCCAGACTGTCAGACTGGTGGGTGGCCTGTCACTCAGTCGGTCAGTCAGTCAGTGGTCGGCCTGTCAGTCGGTCAGTCAGTCAGTCGGCGGTCTGTCAATCAGTCAGTTGGCGGTCTGTCAGTCAGTCAGTCGGCACTAGTCAGTCAGCGGTGGGTCAGTCAGTCAGTCAGTCAGTCGGCGGTCTGTCTGTCGGCGGTCTGTCAGTCAGTCGGCGGTCTGTCAGTCAGTCGGTGGTCTGTCAGTCAGTCGGCGGTCTGTCAATCAGTCAGTCGGCGGTCTGTCAGTCAGTCAGTAGGCACTCGTCAGTCAGTCAGCGGTGGGTCAGTCGGCGGTCTGTCTGTCGGCGGTCTGTCAGTCAGTCAGTCGGCGCTCGTCAGTCGGTCTGTCGGCGGTGGGTCAGTCCGTCAGTCAGCCACGGGCGGTGCGACCGGCGGGCGACAGGCACCCGCGGCGGCCTCTTCGTTCCGACAGGGGACGCGGGGCGCGGCGGGCGTGGGCGCCACGTGGCCGGGCGCTGGGTCGCCGGGGCCTCGGGACGCCGCGGGACGGCGTCTCCCGCGACCTGGTCTCTCCCGGGGCGGCAGCGGCAGGGCGCGGGGACCGCGTGGCCCGGCGACGCCGAGGGCCGCGCCGTCCGTCGACGGCGACGTCCCGGGCGCCCCCGTGTGACTGACTCGCGGCGCGGGGCTCCTCCGCCGCTGGGGCAGGGGCCGGCGGCTCTGGGGGCCCCAGGCGGGGACGCGGGGACGGGCGTATCTATCGTCGCAGTGACAGGCGAGACGCCACGAGGAGAGCAGGTGTTAATGTACCGGATCACGTGAGCGGCGGGCGACGGCGCGCGGCGGGCGGGAACCTCCGCCCGTCTGCACACAGTCGCTGGCAGCTCCCCGCTCTCCTCTTGGCCCTGCCGGTTTGTCCCCGACGGAGAGAGCGGAAAAGTGAGCGAACTCGTCACAGCTCTGCCCGCCAGGGACAGAAGGGACACAGACAGGAGACAACGCCGGAACAGTGAATGCAAAAAACAGTTTTGTTTTTTTTTAAGGCAGCTGCATCTAGAAATTATATCCTAGAGAGTCAGGTTGTGCGCCCTTTTTTCTAGATAATTTTGTTTATTTTTGGGGGGGGCACCCGGATTTGAACCGTTTCTAGATAATTTCTAACCCGCGGAGTCGCCCTGTTGCCGGCACGCTCGCCCTTGTTTGCCCAAGGATCTGTAAGGAAGAGGGTGTGTGTGAATCACACCCGCCTGCGTGAGCTTCTGGATGCCTTTCCTGCTGTGCTCCTGCGTTTTCAGTTCCAGCAAAAGACACAGCCAAGCTCAACACCCGCGATTAGCTGGAAATTGGGCGGAAAGCTGGTGAGAAAGACCTAGAAATCGGAATCCACATGATCAACATTGGAAAGAGATCGGACTTTTGCTTCAGTCTTCTCAGCTGTAACTTAGCCCTTCTTCGTCTGTAAAATGGGAGTAATTCCTACAGTTTACAGTTGTGAGAAAGACCTAGAAATCGGAATCCACATGATCAGCATTGGAAGGAGATCGGACTTTGGCTTCAGTCTTCTCGGCTGTATTTTATCCTTTCTTCGTCTGTAAAATGGGAATAATCCCTACAGTTTACAGTTGTGAGAAAGACCTAGAAATCGGAATCCACATGATCGGTATTGGAAAGAGATCGGACTTTGACATCAGACAGTGTTCTCAGCTGTAACTTAGCCTTTCTTCGTCTGTAAAATGAGAATACGTCTGTAAAATGGGAATAATTCCTACCGTTTACAGTTGTGTGCGAGGAGAGGTGCAGGTGGGATTACATATGAGGAGCACGGTCCAGAGCCTGACATGGAGTAAACAGAAGTTCGATTTTTCATTTATTCGTTCAGATAACAAGAGTCCCAGGTGCCAACCAGTAGCCCGAGCGCCAGGATAGAGGTATCTGCAAGACAGTCTGGTCCTAGACTCTAGGACTAGGTCCCTGCTCTCATGTTTGCCGTCCGGATGGCAAATAATGTGCAAGAAACAAATTTAAAAGGTCATTACAATAGTGGTAAGCGGCATGGATGATGTATTGAGAGTGTCAGGGGTGCTGGACTGGGTACCCAAAGAAGACCCCTGAGAGAAACGGATATTCTAGCTGAGACCCAAATGACAAGGAGTCTGTCATGAGGTCTGAGAATAGAACGTTCCATCTGAACTTCTATGAAGTACAAATGAATTCCATACTTGGTTTTGACTTTGAAAACTATGGATGCTTCAAAAGACCTTCTAAACCAAGATGATCTAAAAAAATTTTTTTAAACACATGAAGTTTGTTTTAATAACCATTAAGTAAGCTGTACAAGGATGTTTATTTGATGGGGGGTATTCAGTGGGGCATAAGACAGAAATGTCCCTCTCAATTGGGAATGTAGGGAAGGCCTTTCAAAGGAGGGGACACTTGAATGAGAAGGAGCTAGCTAGGCCAGCCAGCACTCTGTAACAGGCTAAGTACAGCTACTTTTTTAAAAAAAGCTTTAAGTGAGAAGGAACAGAATCTATGAAAGGAACAGAAGAAATAGCAAAAGTAAGGAATGAGATTAGACAGAAAGCTAGAGCAAGATTCCACAGGGCCTTGTAGACCTTGATGGGGATTTTGGATTTTTCTTGAATGCAAAGGGAAACCCTTGCAGAATTTTGGAATGATAAGGCTCATTTTACCTGGTCTTGCCCCAGCTACTCTTTAAGCACATCTGATACCATTTCCTTCTGTCACCACAGCCTTCCCAGCTCCTTGCATCCCTCAAGCACATTCCCACCTCAGGGTTTTTGCTTTTATGGCTAGCAGCAGAAAGGCTTTTCCCTTTAATCCTGTTTAAAAATATTCCTTGATGCTGTTTTTGCTGCTTTCCGTGGCACTCTTAACATACGATACTGTTGTTTGTGCGTTTGTTTATTCTCCTCCTCACTAGAATATAAGAGAGCAGGAATGTTGTTGCATTGTTTGTATCCCTGGCTTCTAGAAAATGCCTGGCAGCAGCCACTCAAATATTTGTTGAATGAATGAATGAATGAAAGGACTAGTGTTGTTTTAGAGGTGCACGATGCAATGTGATGTCAAAGATGAACCAGTTTCAGAGCATATATAGCTTTAAAGTAGTTAGAATATAATGAAAGAGGAGTGATATAATCTGATTCACACTGGCTGGTGTTTGGAGAATAAATTGTAGTGGACATAAAGAGATCTCATTCACTTCCTGTGCTAATAAGAATAGGCAAGTGTATTATATATTGCCTAGGTGTCTGTAGACAGCTGGGGGTTGCCTGATTTAGACAGGGTTCACCTTGGTATCTTCTGCTCCAGACTACATGTCCACTTGGTCTTGGCTCCTTCATGTGGGATGAACTCAGAACTGCTCCATGTATTTTCATTCTAGGGCTCAGACTGAAGGGAATTACAGAGAATCACGAGAGTATAAACCCAACCACATAAGCACATTGGAAATCTATCCTTATATCACCTTTGCTGATGTTCCATTGGCCACCAAGTCACTTGCAGCCTGACATCAGGGGAAGAACCTCTGCAATCACTGACTTCTAGAGACCAGATATTCTATTCCATGTAATTAACTGGAAAATTTGAATTATTAGTCTCTATAGGCAAATAGTAATAGACACATGATTTAAGGCATTTCACCTTTGTATAAACATTAATAATATTTTTCAACTATCTTTAATTGTACTTTATGTTTTTACTTTTCTGAAATAGAAAGAATACTGGCCCGGGAATTGAGTTAGTTGGCCTTGGTTTTGGTAGTTACGTAACTTAGACCAGTGTCACTTAATATCTTGGCATCAGTTTCTTTAAAATGTCTTCCAGCTATCAGTGCCTGTGAGTTTAAAACTGGTCCATCAGCAATATTTATGAGCCACCAGGGTTGCAAGCAACTTTGGGAACAAAGATACATTATGATCAAACATTAGAATCATTGAGTCAAACTCTCTTATTTTACAGATGAGGAAACTGAAACCAAGAGTGATTACTCAACTTGGCCATGATTATAGATAGTAGTAAGCTTAAGATAGAAAACGGTATATAATCTATAGAATATTTAACTGTTTTTAAATTTTAAAGGTATGTGGGTAAACTATTATACCTGTACATAGAAGAAAAGTATTAAGTTGAACAATATGAAACTACTATTTTTGTAGGGTCAAAAATGTTCAAATATTATCAATTTCATATAGTTCTACATAACATGAGAACATTAGAGGTACTGTTTGTAAGAGCAAAAACACTGCAAATTCCCTAAATGTCCACCAACTATAAAATAGAAAAATTAGTTGTGGAATAGTCATACAGTGGAATTCCATAAAAGAGTAGAAAAAACAAACAAGCCACATGCATCCACACTGACAAATCTCAAAAGCAAGTCACCAAAGAATACATTCTGCATGATCACATTTTTATAAGAGGCAAAACAAAACAAAACAAGACAAAAAAACAAAGCTAAACTTTTAATTAAAGATATAATCATGTAGAGAAAATCATGTTTTTAAATCAAAAGAATGATAAAAAGAAAATCAAGATAGTTATTACCTCTGAAGTGTAATATTTTATTTCTTCAATTAGGTGGTTGACACCTTGGTGTATATTCAATTATTTTTCTTTATAACTGACATGTATGTCCTAAATATTCATTACTCAATATTTAGAACAATTAATAACAACATCAAAGAAGTAATAAATATTCGCTGCTGGCAGGAGTATAAATTGGTACAATCCCTTAAGAGGGCTAGTGGTAGTGTCTGTTAAAATGAAAAATGATGAATAGAATACATTTTTTTATTTCTATGTTGAATAAAGCCTGGATTACACTCCCTGGGTAATTATTCTGTTTACCTGGATCTTGAGAAGCCAAGTCTGATCTGAGCTATCTTTTGATTCTTCTAAAACACTTCAGAGTCCTGCCCACACACCCATCTCCTACACCATCTCTTGCCTTCTCCTCTAGGCCGCTCCATGCCCACTAAGCCGCCATTCCCGCCCTCCCTCCCTCTGTCATATCTACTGTAGGCTCCCTCCCTAACAGGTTCCCAAAACATAAAACAATTTAAGTTCTAAGGTCAGTAACCAGATAAGATTTTTATTATTTTCCTGCTATAAAACTTGCAGCATTCATGCCCACCACTTACAGTGAGAACCTGCAAAATGCAACAGATTATTTGCACTCCCTTTTCACCCTCTGCCCCCACACCCACTAAAATGTCGGAAGCCTTTAGCTATGTCAACAGCTTAGAAGGAATATTGTTTCACTGGAATGAGACCCACCCACGCTGATTTCAGAGATGAAGTTTTGGAATGGTTATGTTAACTACCTAGTAAATGACATGAATGCAGCCATGGAATTCACTGGAAAGTCAGGTCAGATGTTTTCTCAGGAGTGAATGTAATCAAAATTCTTACTAACAGAAATATACACAAGCACTTTCCATTCTTCGGACTTAGATTTGATGAACGACGTTTGGAACAAGATTGCTAAGCACTAGCTTGCTTGAAAATTTGCAGTAGTTCTTACTAAAACAGCCTGCCTGAAAATTCCCCAATATTATAGGAAATCCCTGAAGTAATAGAATTCTCCTTAGAATATTTAGAAGTTTGACTCAAAATTTATTCTGTATCTCTGAAACAAAGTTGGTTCATTTTCAAATTACAGAGATAAATGAAATAGTCATGAAAGCCTTGAATTCAGTTATTTTGTTATTTTCCAGATATGAACTTTGTGGTTGTTTCTTAACTTTATGTGTGGTAAAACTCAGATGGCTTCATAATGCTTTGTCAGGGATGTATAGATCCACTTATGGAAGTTTTGTTGCTAAGACATCATTTAGTCAAACTGCTTTTTGTTCATATGCCTTAAGATTTTTAAAATATAAAACCAATTTTTTAATTGAATTCTCAAATTATATCCGATTAATTTTCCTTTACCCTTTTTTTGTTTAGGGTAATTTGTATTTGTCTTTTTAAAATGGAAAAGATGAGAAGATCTTTGTGACAAGAACATCTTGTCACAATGTCACCTTGTTGGTAGCTTTTCAAGTAGAGAACAGATTATAAAATTTTCTTATATAGTGTAAAATGGTTTCATTTTGTGTTTAGCCTCAAAATTCCAAAGTACTTATAATAATGGGTCTGGTTTAGTGGTTTACACGCTTATATTTGAATCTTATTCTTTAAAGCCTATGGATGTTTAATTCATTTTTCTATCAGATTCTGTTTTATTTAGAAGGTGGATTAAGAGATCTGAAAAATAATTTTCTTTAGGGAAAGTGAGACAGAAAACTAAACCCACTTTAAAAGATATTTTCTGAAATGCAAATTCATATCCCTCCAGTAGGTTGGCTAGGTTTCCCGTACTGTGGTGATTTCTAGACCTACGAGGTTGCTGTGCCCTCTTCTTACACTCAGGCCTCCTGAACCCTGCTTTCCAGGAGACAGGCTGACAATGTGCAGGAGTAAAGTGGACGTGTGCGACTATGATGAATTGTTGAGCACAATCCAGGTCTAAAGAGTTCCTTGCTGTTCTAGCAGGTTGCTGTTTTGCTGGAACAAAGACCCACGTATTGCCAGGTCTTCCAACTTACAAGAGGAATCCAGGCTTTCATGTGAAATCTCTTCTTTTTAAATGGGGACAACCCGACAATTTAAAATCATTTTTAGGAACCTGTGCAAGCCAAATTGAAAATGTTACAGACCTGTGGACCACCCATTAGGCACTTCTCTGCATACAATAATGAAGTGCTTTAGTACTGTCCACTCAAGGCTCTGTTTCCTGCAGAAAGAGTGTAAGCATGAATACCTCTCTCTTTCATTCTTGACATTTCCCTCTTTCCTTTTTTCCAGGCTGCGTGCTGTCTCTGGTCTGTCCGAACTCCTCCCAGGCATGGTGTGAGATCACAAATGTGTCACAGCTGCTGGCTTCTCCTGTTCTCTACACGGACCCGAATTCCAGCACAACCAACCTGAGCATTTCAGCAAATGTAGAAAACAAATACAGTCTTTATGTGGGCTTGGTACTGGCAGTAAGTTCCAGTATTTTTATTGGCTCCAGCTTCATACTGAAAAAGAAGGGCCTCTTGCAACTGGCCAAAAAGGGCTTTACTAGAGCTGGTAAGTAACACGTGCAACTAGTGAATTCAAGTTTCTAACTGCAGAAGTAATCCTAATGGAAGTCCACAATACTATACTAATAGTAATTTACTGTCTCTATTTTTTTAGCCTCAGTCTCCTTGATGGAGCCAGCTGCATCTCCCACGGTCTCAGACCCCCTGCCTATAATGTCCCCTGCTACCTCTCCAGCTTCCTCTTGTACTTTCCTCCCATTCACCTACTTTTCTCTTATTCCTGGAATAAGAGGCCTAGTTCTTTCCTACCCCAAGGTCTTTTCCCTTTTCCTGGAACTCTCTCCTCCTTGCCTTTCATTCAGCTAACTCATCCTTCTGACTTCAGTTTGAGTATCATCATCCCAGAAAGGCCCATCCTCTCTGGGCAGGTCTCCTGACCCCATCCCCTGTTATTTCCTATCCTTGCACTAACAGTTTTCTTCACTGAATCTAGAATAATTTGTATTTGTACATTTATTATTATATTTACTTGTTGCCAACAGGTTTACTTGTTTATTTAGATAGTAGATTCACAAGAACAAGAACCTTCCCTGGTACAGTGTTTGACACCCAATAAATATTTGTTAAATCAATAAATGGAAAAAAATACAATTAGGCTACCATTTATAGTGACATTTCAGATGCTGTCTGTCTCTCTTTGACTATACTTCATGAACCATGAATTTTCTATTTTTATCAAGTATAATATCATAAGGCCTAAATATTTTTCTAAGGTCCATATAGAAAAATAAGTGACAATGAATAGTGCAGACAAGTTTATAAAAGAGTATTATTGAGGGAAGATTTACATAATATGTAAAAAGTGACTGCAGTCAATGAGAAAAATATTAGTACCCCAACAAAAAATAGGCAAGGCATAGAAACAAAATAAATAAACAAACTCACAAAATAAGAGATGCAAATGGCCAATAAACATATTTAGGTAAATATTATTTTGCTAATACTCAAAGAGATACCAACTATATAATAAGAAGGTCCAGTATTGTAATATGATTCCAATGTAGTTATTTAAAAATTTTGTAAGGAAAAAAATCCTAAATAAACATAGTTAACTGCTTTGTAAAATAATCTTCACAGCTTATGTACCCTATTTAGTTTAATTATAGCAAAATCATCTAAGCAAAATTCAGGAGGTTAAGTATATTAAAATTGATGAGAAAATTCCATTTTCTACAGCAAACGTATAATAATGACTTAAGGTCACATATTACAGTAGTGGGAATATAACTCTTTGAATACCTTAAGAGAGCTTTTTGTCCTTTTCAGTAGACTAAATAGAAACTCAGTTTCATCATGCCAAAGTAGAAGCAGAGTCCATCTGCCTGATACTCTTTATTCTCTGATTGACAAATCCAAAAATCTCAAAATCTCTTATGTCAGCCATCTTCTTCACTTTATGATCCTCATTAGGTACCAATGTAATTTATGATTTATGGTTTTCTGACTTTAATTTTAAGCATGGCTGAAAAAAATGTATTTAGTGTTTATAATAGTCTATTCCATACCTCTGACTGACATAAGCACAGTGAAGCTCATGATTAAATTTCCTACAAATAAAAAAAAAAAATCAAAGATGTACCTGGTGACATAATTAAAAGCTTTAGAAGATCTTTGGAAATGACCAAGTAAAGAAGCTGAAAGACTTTAGATGTGCTGACTTGATTGTTCCAACCATAATCCAGTACCTTTCCTAGAAGTCAATTCTTCAAACATGTTTCCTCCAGTTTAGAACTTAATTTTTTATATTTTCCTAGGACACGGTGGACATTCGTATCTGAAGGAATGGCTCTGGTGGGCAGGATTACTGTCAAGTAAGTTCTTAATACTGAGAATAGCATTTGCTTGGAAATTGATAAATAGATTATGTGGAATTTTTCAAGCATACATTAGAGATTAGCTAAGTGACAGTCAAATAGTACTTTAATCATTAAATCAGTGTTTTCCTAGAAAGATATCTATGATGATAAAAATATAAATAATATAAAGTATTCAAGGAAAGCATAATATTGTAAGAAAACTACCATGGCTCTTTTTTTGAGAGCAGTTTCCAAATTGTTCTGTAAGTTTAGATTTGTTTTATGATGTTTTCATAATGCTGGTGATTCCTGCGGATCTAGGGGGATGTAGCATAGCAGCCAGAGAAAGGGAGAAAATATACTGAAATTCCTTTATCTCCCTACCATAAGCATGCTTGGGGTAGCTTGCCAGTATGAAAATACTACGTTCTGTGGGGTCAGTGTTCAACTGTGATCTGTGAGAATAATTTGGCCCCAGTACAAGAGGGCAGCTCTTGGAAGGACTTCCCTCACTCTAGAAGTTATCTGCATCCACTCTCTCATGGAAGGCTAGAGTTCTTCAGATAAGAAAAAGACCACTTTCACGAGCAGCACATATTATGACTTTAAAACAGCTGCTTGGATCTCCTTAAGCTACTGAAATGCTGTTCCTTGCCTTTAGATCGTCTGCAATTCAGCCTGTAGTAGGCATTTTTGGCTGTCCCCTACCTAACCACCAGATGCTCTATGAAGCATTCTAATTTTACAAGTTGGTTTTGGTTGTTGATGCTAATTTGCAATGCAGTAGGTATTCTTGAGCAAATGGAATAATTCTCTGCTTACCACAAAGCTACCTCTACTAGATTTCATGAGTGTGACCAAATATGTTTTCAGTACTGAAATAACTAAAATCTCTATCGAAAGTCATTTAAAATGTATATTTATCTGTCACCACTGCTTGTATTAGTTAAGTTTGCCTCACCAGGAATTACAGTTTATCTGCATCCCTTAATACCGATTCTCTCCTACCCTCCATAAAATGAGTTACAGCATTCCTTTTAGCTAGATATTTCAGTGTCTCTTGGATAAAAGTCCACTGCTTTGCAGGGGTCATTTGTTTTTCTCTTCTTACAAATAAGTCTAACCTTTATATCAATACCTCTGCTTGCTTTCTAGTGGGGGCAGGAGAGGCTGTGAATTTTGCTGCGTATGCCTTTGCACCTGCTACCTTGGTCACCCCCCTGGGTGCGCTGAGTGTTCTCATAAGGTACGTGTGAGACAACACGCCTAGATTCTGTAGGTATTTTAATACCAAAGTCAACTTAAACCATAAGAAATATACTGTTAAGTATACCTCAAAACAACAACAACAACAAAAATCTAGACCAGCCTGGGCTCTGAGAGGGCCCCAAATCATTTCTGAGACTCCTGAGCAGCTTTGGACAAGTCACTTAACCTCAGTTCCCTCATTTTTAAAAGGGGAAAAATATTTTTTTCTTGTCTAAAAAACAAATCACAAAACTAACTTGAGAAGACTACAAAATAAATAGCTGTAGATATGGGAACTAGATTGTCATTATTATTATTTAGAAAACCTATGGCAAAGTGAGCTTCATTCCCTACTAACATAAATAATTGTGTGTTATGTTTGGGATGATTCAATGACACCTAGCAGATTTTTATCTCTCACCTGAACAAATTGTGTCAACAAACAGAATCCTTTTAATTTATTCTATTGTCATAGTGTTTAATGACCATAGTTATCAGAAGGCTTTAAAAAGCATAGTGCTTAGGTTAAATTTCGACTCTCACTAAAATTCTTACATTGTCTGCTGAATACTTCTGTGTGGAGAGCCTGTAGTTTCTTTTAGTTCTGGAAACAGGAATAACTTTCCTGTTTCATATAATATGGATTTTTTCTGAGTTGGTCTTTATTATGATCCCGAACTAATGTGTTCAATGAGCCCATGAACTCTTTTATGCTAAGCTACCATTTTGGTTTTTTTGTCTTTTTCTTGTCCATTCCTTATCAACCTCTAGTAGAAAGCTTATGATTGGGTCTACTCATTTCTCTTTACTTTCTTTGTAGGATTGTTGTAAGAACAAAATGAGTAATATACAACAAGCACTTAAACACTTGTCTATGCAATGAACAGTGGTAGCAGTATTTTCACTGAGGCTACAGTCCTACAAGCAGCCACACGGGGGCAACTCCAGGAAAGCACTGAGGAACGGATCATAGTCTTGGTGCCATAGATGGGCACAGATACTGTGCTCCTGGGAATACCAGGGCATGAGAGGAAGGAGGCTGGTGTGCAAGGCCAGAGCTGGCCTCCCGGTGGAGCCTCAGGATGGTATACTCTGGGGTCCGTGGCAGTACCAACCTGTAGCTTCCTGAGGCCACAGCAGCCAAAGCATTAGGGACATGGGATAGCTGGAAATATCAGGCCAGGAGCAGGCACTGAGGAAGTATTTCAATATTTCGACAGTCTTTATGGTTGTAATGGTGTGAACTAGCTAAATATTAGCCCTTAGGAGAGAAATTCCTTTTTAGGAATATATCTTTCTTTGAAACTTCCCTGGGCACACATATTCTAAATGCATCACGCCTGTAAGATATAAAAGCTCCTCCATTTTGCTTAGCCATACTGGAGACGGGGAAATTGAAAATGACTTGACAGAGACCTCTTGGAAGGTGATGGGGCGATTAGCTCTTCAGACATAACAGCAACGAAGCAGATTTGAGTGACAGTCAGTTCTGAGTTCCGCACTGATCCGGGTGTTGCAGTGTCCCATAGCATGTTCTAGTCAGCTCGCTGGGACATACAACGTCACATGCCGCAGTGTAGCTTCTGAGCCACCCTGGGGTCAAAAGGTAATTGAACCATAATGATTTTATTTTTTTTCTCCCAACAGTGCAATACTGTCTTCTTATTTTTTAAATGAGCATTTGAACATTCATGGAAAAATTGGCTGCATATTAAGTATATTGGGGTCAACTGTGATGGTCATCCATGCCCCGCAGGAAGAGGAAGTCACTTCTTTGCATGAAATGGAAATGAAATTGAGAGACCCAGGTCTGTGACTCAACTTAAACACTCAAATTCTGTTCTACTTTCCCTCCTCATCAAATGATATTTGTAATAATATTGTAATAGGCTTCCTACAAACCTAGCTGTGGGTCGTGAGACACAGTAAAGTTCGATGGAGTGTTACAAGTCTCCTAAAAAGATCACAGAACTTATTTTTATGTTCATGCTTCCCCTCTACGTAATGAAAGGGAAAGATGGAGATTGTAGAGGGAAAAGACATATTCAAACCCAAGTCTTTGCCTCTGAAAATAAAAAGTTAATCCAATAACATTTGCCCTACCTCATAGTGTTATTGGTGAGATTCAAATGATTGTGAAAGTAAAATATGGAGAACTACACAATAGAATGTTGTTGTTTTTAATTTAATCTCACTTCTATTTCTAAAACACCCATGCTCTTAAACTCATGACTAACAAGATTTCAGAAAGACATGATCCTGTTAGCATTTTCTGAAGTCTGATCCTTTTCTCTTCCTAACAGGATTTATTTCCTTTGCTGTGATCGTAATTGTGATCTCCTTGGTGCTGATTTTGATTGTGGCTCCCAGGAAAGGAAAGACCAATATATTGGTCTACATTTCAATCTGTTCTTTGATTGGAGCATTTTCAGTTTCTTCTGTCAAAGGCCTGGGAATTGCCATTAAGGAACTATTAGAATGGAAGCCAGTTTACAAGCATCCCCTGGTCTTTGTTTTGCTGGCTGTGCTTGTGCTTTCAGTGACTACACAGATTAACTATCTCAACAAGGCACTGGACACCTTCAATACGTCTCTCGTGACTCCCATCTATTACGTGTTCTTCACGTCCATGGTCGTGACCTGCTCCGCCATCTTGTTCCAAGAGTGGTACAGTATGAATGCTGGAGACATCATTGGAACCCTGAGTGGGTTCTTCACTATTATCAGTGGCATCTTCCTTCTACATGCTTTCAAAAATACTGACATTACCTGGAGTGAGCTGACATCCACAGCTAAAAAAGAAGTCCTCTCTCTGAATGGCAATGAGAACAATTATGTTTTACTAGAGAACATGGAGTATTCAGCCCCTGGATACAATGATGATGTGACCTTGTTTAGCAGAACTGATGATCAAAGTCTCTAGAAACCCCGAACTTTATCCAATATGAGGCACTCGGAGAGGAGAAGGAATACTTGCTTTTTGGGAGAACTGCTGGGGAAGTTAGGATTTTTAAAGTTCTGGTTAATAATTTAGATGTGAGGCCAAGTAAAAATGCCTTCATGTTGGCCATCAAATTTGAAAATTGAGTTTTGATCCTCCTTTAGAAGACATGTGCTTCTTTTCATTCCTGCAAACTTTGAACCCAAAAAAAGTCAAGGAGTTATGTGTGTCTCAGAATAATCTTTCTTCTGGCCACAGTATATTTGACTCTGCCATGTGGCTCTTCATTTCTTTGGTGGCTGTTCTTAGACTCATGGTAATTCATAGACATAGATAAGGTTAACAGTGTTCTGATAAGCAGAGTATTAGTCACCATTCTCTGAGTCATAATTTCAAATTATTAAAACTGAGAAGTGAGATCACTGGTGCTTTGTCCTCCCTTCCACAGCTTCCTTCTTTTAAAACTAGCTAGCTAAGGGGTAACGTGTTGAAGAAAAAACAGGCCTGCTTTGGAAATCTATTCCTTAGTGGGCTAGAATACACAAGACACACCTACCCATGAAGAGCTTACGGGTTGCAATTTAGTGACATACCATAGGAGTTTATTACCAACTAAAGAAGGAAGAATGGAGGAAGGAGAAAAATGCTTTGGACCTCGGGTAAAGGAAACATTTATTTTTTCTTTTTCACAAACACACAAATGATTGTGTTCTCAGGTTCCTTTAACTTACACCTGGATGACATAAGACAAAATGGAGTTTCTAGAGAAGTTTAAATGAATTCACCTTTGGAGTTACTTATATTCATATTCCTTTCTTTTACTATTATCCCAAAGGTTATTGTTCTTGTCGATGTAGAGATTTTTATAAAATAATTGCTATATTATTTCAGGATTATGTTGTCTAGTTTAATTTTTCTCAAGTGTTTTAAAGGGAATTTTTAAACCCACTAACGCATAGGTTTTCTACAGACTGGAAATGAGAAAAATCTATGTGAAAAATCTGAATAAAATCATTATAATTCTCAAAAAAATTGGTATTTTCACCCTTATTAAGAAAATTACTTACTAACCTTTAGTTACCTTTAAAAATAGGTATATCCTACCACAGTGGTAGATTGTCTTTTCCTGTTAAATTTCATCCTATGTTTTTCATACAGTTTTATTGATAAGTGTTTTAGTTGCTAGAGAATTAACTTCCTAGAAAACAAAATATTAAGACCAGGGGATACAATAGGAAAATACCTTTGGCACATTAAAACTTTCATAAAATTTTCCAATCTCATTTCAAATGCATAGCAGGAATGACATTTTTGGTGGTCTTTAATGTTTATGGGCAGATTTCCCATTACTTACTGATTTTAGAGAAATAAATTGGCTATCTTATTTCTAGACTAAATTTATATTTCCAAAACCCAAAAATCCTAACCAAAGAGTTGTCATTTAAAAAAAAAAATAAAACTTTCAGGTTGACTTGATGTTTTTCTGCTGTAACATCAAATGTTTTTATTTTTGTGTTCTGTTTCTAAGCTAGCTCAAGACTACCCAGGGTAATAACAGTAAACTCTGTTATTCAGAATTCTATTAAACTGACTTCAGCATTTTCCCAGTTCTACTGAACTATGACTGATGTTCACAGTGACAACCTAAGATGGCTACAAGGCCCTGCAGTCATATGTAGTCTCAGCATATTTTACTGGGTTGGTTTTGTTTTTTAAGGCAGGGTCTCACTCTATCACCCACGCTGGGCAGCATGATTACTGGTCACTACAGCCCAAACTCTTGGGCTCAAGCAATCCTACTGCCTCAGCCTCCCAAAGAACTAGGACTATAGGCACACACCACCATACCATGCCCAGCTAATTGCTTAAAATGTTTTTGTAGCGATGGGGTCTTGCTACATTGCCCAGGCTGGTCTCAAGCTCCTGGCCTCAAGCAGTCCTCCAGCTTCGACCTCCCAAAGTGCTAGGATTATGGGCATGAGCTTCTGTGCACAGCCTAGCATAGGTTAGTGTTGAGTGCAATTCAATGCATTCTAAATTTTTCAAAATTAATAATGCATGGGAGAGCCATGGGTTTATACCTCAGGTCTAATACATGTTTGCTTCATTGATTGTTGTTTCACTTTATTTGTATATCAGATATATAAGCTATGAACACAACTTTATAGGAAAACTATATTCTGAAAAGGTAACGTTTGAAAATTGTAGAAATTCTTTTAATGTTTCCTTTTTAGTATTGAGAACTCTTATTAGTTTCTCTAGAATATTTCTTGGTGCAGAATTAATGTCATTTTTCTCAACATCCAATCTAAGGCCATGGTGGTTTTCTGCTCTAGTGAATTAAAGTTTCAGACATTTCTTAAGTGTCGCCTGTTACAAAGTTTTGCCCTTGGTACATTGTGTCCAGAAGGAATACTGAGAAAGATCTAATGAGTTCTAGTATGTTGATAAACAATAAAATATTTGAAAAATTCTATACATAAAAATCACTGGTGGGCACATGCATTAAAAAAACAAATTGTCATTGCAAACCTAACACTAAAAATTATTGTTCCCAAACAAGAAGGTATTGTCCAAGGAAGAATAAAATGCTGGATCACTATATTCAGACAAGCTATGTTAGTCTTAAGCAGTCACTTATATTTGTGTGTGTATATATATATATATGTATTTATATATATATGTCTTTTTTTAACACTTTGTCATCACATAGATATCTTAAGATTTATTATGTGAATATCTGCACGCATGTCTTTAAGGGTTACAAAGTTGTGCTTACACAGGACAAATGGGAAGCTTTTCTTCTGTAAAGATATCATTTGATTTTTTGACTTACAATTTTATTCTTAGGTCAATGGTGAATGATTTTATTGTTCAGACTGGAGAATGTTTATAAAACTGTTTACATTTAGCAGCGTGAAATAAACACCTATTTTTAAAAATATTAAATCAAATACAGGGAAAGCACCTTGTATCATGTCTGATATATAATAGGTACTTAATAAAATGTAGGTCTCTTTGAATCAACATTTTAATTCTTACAATCTTATTACTAGAGAAATAAGGATCATTGAGTGCCAGTTTTCATACATTCTTCACCTTTTCTCAATTTCTATCAGTTCCTTTTAAATAATCCAAGTGAGAGTGAATTCCATCATTATACTGTGTCAACACCAATACAAAATTATTCCAACAAAAATATTTTTCTTAATAAAACTAGAAAAAACTAAATGCCAATTTTCACCTTCCAACAAAACTTTGTGGAAGAACAATTTATGAATATATGTGAAATGTTCTCAAATATTTTGGATAAACTGTTCACAAAACTTTATATTTTTCAAATGTTTACAAATACTGTCGTTTTAGAAAGCTTACAAATTTTAAAGTTTCCGCATATTTTTCATTTGCAATAAAATGGTTTAAAGATGCTTTTGAGTTCAATTTTTAGTTTATAGAAGTCAAGCATGTGTACTTGCAAAAATATTCTCATTTTGTTTTGAGATTTAAAACTTTAAAAGTCTAAAAAAAATCTGCAAAATCTGACATTAATTTTGCTGTTTCATTTCCCTTGAAATGGAAATTTGTCTTTAGAAGGCAGCCTTCGGCAAAACCATCTCCCATGTAACTGATTTGGCAACTGAACGAAAGAAACTCTTATCCTTCAGTAATTTTATTCAACAAGATGGGAGCTCAAAGCGGTCAGTATAATAATATCTCCTCTTAGTTCAGTAACTTTTAAAAAGTATTATAAAAATATCTGGTACCATGCTTTACAAGCCGTGAGTGAATTTCCTTCTAGCCCCGTGGAACTATAGCTTTGCTTCACATATTAGCTACATCGCCATGTCTTCCTCAGCTTGCCCTGTTTTCATCTGAACTCGTGTTGTTTTTTTTTCACCTCAATACATGTTTTTCTATTTCAGCATATTATGGGGGTACAAATGTTAAGGTTACGTATATTGCCCTTGCCCCCCTTCCCCCCTCGAGTCAGAGCTTCAAGCGTGACCATCCCCTAAACGTTGCACATCTCACTCATTGTGTTTGTATATACCCATCCCCTCTTCCCCCCACACACACCCGCCTGACACCTGATAAATGTTTTTCCTATATGTCCACTGTGGTGTTGATCCGTTAATACCAATTTGCTGGTGAGCCCATGTGGTGCTTGTTTTTCCATTCTTGGGACACTTCACTTAGTAGACTGGGTTCCAGCTCTAGCCAGGAAAATACAAGAGGTGCTAGATCACCATTGTTTCTTATAGCTGAATAGTACTCCATGGTATACACATATACCACATTTTATTAATCCACTCATGAATTGATGGGCACTTGGGTTGTTTCCACATCTTTGCAATTGTGAATTGTGCTGCTACAAACATTCGAGTGCAGGTGTCTTTTTCATAGAGTGACTTTTGTTCTTTTGGGTAGATGCCCAGTAGTGGGATTGCTGGATCAAATGGTAGATCCACTTGCATCGCTTTGAGGTATCTCCACATTGCTTGAGAGCAACTCCCTCAGTTGTTTCCAATTCATAGAAATGTTTAGGGTGCAAGAGCCTCTTTCTTACCTGTGCCCGACTCCCACCATTTTATAAGTGAAGAAGCATGCTATTTCTTATCTCACAGTCAGGGCCAGAATGAGGCCCACACGCCAAGCCTCCCAACACCCCAAGCTACTCAATGCACGGAATGTTAGACACATTTCAGGGGAGCTTGGTGGAGTTTGCTGTGCAAAAACAACAACACACCCACAGCTGTAGTGAATCAAACACATGGAAAGTTGTCCTGTAGTCAGGACAAACTACAGTTTTCCTCAGCAAGCCGTGCTTGTGTCTCCCTAACATTTCAGCAGCTTAAAAGAAACATCTAAGAGGCGAGCTCAGGTTGCAAAGATTCTTAATTTTTACCTTGACAAATGAGCAACATTTTCCCCTGAAAAGCTCTGATCGGTTGCAGAAACAAAAGTTTTGAAAGCACTGCCTACCTGAACCACTCTTTTCCCCCTTTGGTTACGAGAATCATGAGAAGCCTTTCTTCTTGAGGGAAAACTGAATGTCTACTAAATGCCATTAGTTTAGGAGGAAACTTTGACCCAGAAGGCAGTTTAGAGGGTGTCCCCCAAATCTCTGCAGGCCAAGCTCTTCCCAGGAGCTGCCGCTTTACTGTCGTGGGCTCCAGAATGTTCAGTTCCCACCAGGGCAGGCTCTTCCTTGGTCAGCCTGCGGGAGATGAGTTCTCACATTCGCATCTCCATGAGGACTCTGGCTAGAGCCCAGTGAGGTCTACTTCACACCCAGCAGCTCATTGGCAATCTGGGAGAAGCACTTAGGCACGGTTGGTATTGGAGATAAGGGAGCCCTACTCCGATTACCATCTGTCCCCAGAATTTCCTGCCAGACTCTGGCTTCTGGGGCGTAGCCAGTCACTCCTATCAGTAAACAGCATGGAAACTCGCTCTGGCCCCCAAAGCTTGTAGACTGCTTCGTGAATGCCTCCTATAGTGCTCGCCCACCCTGGTTGTTTAGTCTCTATGGAGAAAGCCTCTAGATCACCCCTAGAATGGGTCCTGGCTAATGATATGAAGCTATTCGCTGAGTTAAAAAATGCAGAAAATAAACTCAAGGACATCCCATAGCTTAAACCCAATAAACCAGCTTGTTTTGTAGACCAGGAATGCGAAAAGTTAGCCTCTCCTACTCAAAAGGCCTCTCTGTCACTCTGTTAGTGTTTGCCTTTTTTTTTTTTTTTTGTCACTACTTATATTGCATCGTATGACCAAAAGAGTTTCAAATAAAATTGCACGTCAATAAAAGAGGCCTCCCTCCTCCTTAACCCATGGAACCATAAAGCTGGGTTAGAACGGGCAAGGCTTGGAAGAAACAGAAAATAAATTCCTACGGGCAGGATTCAAGGTGGCTTTATTTACCGTTGGTACCTTGCTTGAACTTAATTCTTTCTGAGTAGTCTTGCATGCGCGAGAAAAGGCAAGGCTCTCTGCCAGTTTTGGGAATGTGCTTTTAGGATGACAGGATACAGATTTAGGTACCACGGTGATTTGGTCTTTTCAGCAAATACTGAAACAGACGCTCAGCAAAGAGAGGCTGCTGGATTGAGTCTACCCGGGCAAAAAAAAGGAGGACCTACATCAGAGGCACGATAAATGAGGCCTCACTGTGGGAACCAAACTGGTTTAGAATCAGACAGACTTAAAGCAACTCAGTGCAATTCACGTCCAAACAACAGGCCCACTTCTTACAGATTGGCACCTGCTGATTGAAGATTAGCCCGAAGCTAATCAGGAAAAATGAAAAGTGTGGAGGAACTGGTCAAACGAGATCAAGTGTTATACTATTAATATTTGTTTGGGAGCACTGGGGGCTGGAGGGAGCAGGTACCCACGGTGGGAACACACGATCTACTTTCACAGTGTCTGAACAACTCGCAGTCCAACAGAGCGAAGAGTAACCACTTCCACCAGACACGTCTGCGTGTCTAGTACCTTCGAAAGGCGACAACTTCATGATCCTGAGTGGGAACATAAAGCATGAGATGCAAAATACGTAGCTAAACAGAGACCTATTCAATCTTGCTACCAAACAGGCAAGAAAATAAGGCTGATTTCAGGCAGAATTTAACTCACCTGGCTTTCCTTTCCATCCTCAACCAGCGGACTCTGCAAGATAACAAATCGCTTTGTAAAATATTTGAACCTCTCTGGCTCTTCTTCCCTGAGGTTGCATGGAATTCTGCAAATAGCCTGGCCCCGTTGGTGAGATACACAGATGTACAGGATTCTACCAGTGTGTCAACACCTTTGATATTTTGCTCCAGAGCCCTGGTCCTGCTGAA